GCCTTCATTAGTGTCCCTTCATTGATCTCCCATGCCATCTGAAAGATATAGCTCGTGTATTTGGAGGATGGGACCCAGCTGCAGTTTTCTCATGCACCTAGTGTATGCCTGGACCCTCCTTCCTAGGTCTCATTTCTCGTTCATCTCCTTGAAATGACCTCACCTTCTGACGTGCCTCCCATACCGGTCCATGGCCTGACTTTTGCTGGGTCGCCCCAGGCGGAGGCAGAGAAGTTCCTGGCCACGGCCAGGGCCAAGTGCGCCCAGAGCGCGGAAAGCTTTGCCCAGCGCTCCGCGCGCCGTACCGAGGAGCGCTTCTGGATCGGGTGCCGTGTGAGGGATCGGGATCGGGTGCTTGAAATGCATCAGCCTTCAACTTGGTTCGTTGTTCCATGTTGTTCCCTGATCCAGGGAGTTGGATGCCACACCAGACCCACCCCAAAAAGGGAAAACCGCTTCGGTTTGCCAGGAGCTGACAGCTGTGACGAAAGCGCGGGAGGTACCGGAGCGAGGGCCGGGATGGGTAGTGCGATGGCTGAACATGGGGGTTCCACAACCACCTGGCTGAACATGGCTGAACCACTAAAGTCATTGGGGTGGATGTTCTTGCAGGACTTATGAATTAGATCGGGCACTCTTCAAGGCGTCCCAGGTTTTGTAGAGTGTGTTCGATGCGAATCTCCGACTTTGGTCTTGATGGAGGGCGGACCGTGAAAAACAGTTTCTGACAGCAGAACATCCACCCAAGAAACAACCAATCCCAGACAATCCATGGGACCGCCATATTTGCCGATTGGTGGGGTTGGGATAGGGGGGTGGCATATTTTGGCATAGATTCCAGTCCCATGGAGTGCCCAGCCATCTGGCTCTTCTTTGCGCATCGTTGTGGACCGCCCCCACGTCGGTCGACCGGTCACTGGGCAGCTTGTACCGGTCCCTCTGAACGGCACCCTTGGAACTTCACGCATCCAATAGACTTGTGTGGATTTGTCTTTAATCGCTAGGGGGATCTGACGGGTCAATTATCTCGCCGAGATGGAGAGATCCCAGGTGCTGACAGGGGAGGAAGCAAAGATGCTGGAGGCCAAAAGCAAAGCCAAAGCAACGTGAGGAGCCCTACCATGAAGGATGTGAAGCCTAATTCGGCTTCCAACTACCATTGACTCAATGCTTCGAATCCCCAACAGTCATTGTTTTAGTAGCATGTTTTGAACTAGTTTTGCACTACCACACCTGACTTTTAACTTTGAACCAATGAACTGATGCGGAAGACGAGCCGGTGAAACACCCTCGGGGATCCCTCGGCGGGTGGGCGAAGGTGGACAGCCCAAGAGGGTGCTCAGTCAGGTTATTGTTGTTGTTTCACGCTAGGATGTCGTATACATGTCTCACTTAACTACCGTTTGGCTCAAGGAAAACCAGGTGCGACTTGTTGGTAGTTCTCGGTCGTTTACCTGTATCTACAGGTTATCAGCCGTATCGCCATAAGTGCGGTACGTGCTTTCTACTAGCTGTGGTCTCACCCCACCCTAGGTAGTGCACTATCTAGAGGCCATGGCTGATGATGATGGTTCCCGTGGTGACCGCTCACGATCAGGCTACGTTCCTACTTCGCCTGCGATGTCCAGTTCACCTGCTGCTGATCTCCCTGTTGTTCCGCTGGAGTTGCGTGTACCAATTGCGCCACCGACGTTCAGTGCACAGGGGGACCTGTTGCCTAGTGGTCAAGCACCGTCGCCGTTTCAGCCTGAGTTTTCTCCTGTGATGAATGTCCAGAACGTTGATGCAAGACAGATCCATCAACAAGCAGTCTTCGTCAATGAGGACAGGTCAGCACAGGTAGCTCAGATCGCAGAGTTGCGGCATCAGGCCATTTTGGCCGAGCACGGGCAACAAGTAGCTGAGGAGGCTAGGCATTTTAGAGATGTAGTGGAGAACCAAGCTAAAGTGGCTGTCCAGGAGTCTAGGGAACAGATTGAGGCTTTAGCCAATCAACGATTGAGTGACATGAACCAAGCCCATCAAAATCAACATCTTCAAGAACAACGGGCTTACCTAGATCGCCTTTCGCTCGAACGACACACCGTCGTTGAGAACGAACGCGCCTCTGCCAAGCAAAGAGAGGATGCACTTCGGTCAGAGTTAGCAGAACAGAGTCGAATCATCAAGGAGTTGAGAGAGAGGTTTGACAACGCCTCGGGGAACCGAGTGCCTGCACCATCAGTGCAGCCACTTGGGTCTCAGGTGTCCCCAGCTTTGCCTCCAGCGAGCCTTCGCACTCAGTTGGAGAAGCCCGGGATCGAAGGCGGTGATGAGCCTCATCCATCCGATGCTGATGAAGAGGGTGGTGATAAATCAAAGAAAGACAAGAAGAAGAAAGGTAAGGATAAGAAGAAAGAGAAGAGCCCTAAGAGGGGCCGCTCGAGGGAGCGCAGAAAGAAACGCTCTCCTTCCCCATCACCATCGTCACCCAGTTCATCAGGAGGGAGTGATGACTCAAATGACTCAAGCTCTGAATCATCGCGTCTGGCACGCATCATTCGCAAAGAGCTGAAGAAGCAGCAAAGGAAGTCGAAAGACAAGGATCATGAGAGTAAAGCCAAAGAAGCTGACAAAATTCTCATTCCCAAGTTCCCCACGCCTGAGAAGTACAGAGACTGGAAGATCAAGGTGAGGGACAATATTGCTGCAGCTTCAGCGAAGCCGGATGAAGCAAGATCTTGGGTTGGGAAAGTATACAAAGATTCCCAAACCATTGATGCCTTGGATGATTCAGAGGGATTCGCAACCCTCGACGCAAAGCTTCTTGCAAGCTTAACCAATTGCGCTGAGGGGGACCTCGGTCGGCAGATTGCTACATTCAAGGAGTTGCGTGCTCGTGAAGACAAGAACGTGAAGGGTAGACACTTGCTCCTTCGGTTCCACGAGTATTTTGCCACAAGCATCAAGCGTGGAGCAATCTACGGACTCGAAGACCTCATGTCCGTCAAAATGGTCAACGATGACCTCAAGGGCTTTATAAATAAATGGGATAGCGTTCTTGCCGGAATGAAAAAGGAACCAGAAAACAGTGTTCTGGAAGCCTATTTCCACCTGGCAGTGAAACGTTTCAAGCCACTTGAGCATGACTTGGCCTTGTACGACCGTGCAGCCGATGGAAGCAAAGAAAGAACATACGACTTCCTGATCACTGCTGCCCGGGCCTACCTCGAACGGAAGAGGTTGGAAAAGATGCGCGACGCCACGAAGCGTTCGCTCGGGTCCAAAGACACAACCATGCCAGCTCCGGAGGAGAAGAAAGGCATCTGCTACGAGTTCCAAAAGACCGGAAAATGCAAGCGCGGATCATCATGTCCTTACAAGCACGAAAAAGGCCGCGAGAAAAGCAAAGGAAAGGGAAAGGGCAAGGATCGCAGCCAATCTCGGTCAAGATCGCTGACACCAGGATCACGCAAGGAGACTTGCAAGTTTTGGAAGGCAGGACATTGCCACCGAGGAAAAGACTGCGCATTCCAACACCCTGAAAAGACTGTCCCTGCGAAGAAAGAGGACAAGAAGAAGAAGAAGAAAGACAAGAAACCTCGCAAGCGAAGCAGCTCACGAGGATCATCAGGCTCCGACAACTCAACTGGCTCTGAGAGTCAGAGGAGAAAAGGTGGGAAGTCTTCTTCTTCCAATGCACCGGCAGCGGTATGCCTCCTTCGAGCAGTGGTCATGGCCGCAGTGGTCTCTCAGGGATCCTCCGTCCTCATCACTCGCCCGCTGGGAAGCGTGGCCATGCCAGTCCTTTCCGCATCAAACACTATGTGCACCGATTTTGACAACACAGAAAACATTGACAGTTTTGTTACGCAAAGAGTTCGTTTTGACGATCAACCAAACGTTTTCAATCATGCTGTTGAGTCTTCTTCCAGTTGGAGATCCGTTCAACCCCGGAGTAAGAAGAAACGAAGACCCTTTACACCAGGTCGACCGGAGCATGCTGAGGCAGTTCGTGTCGCCACTGAGGACGCATCCATTGCAGCATCACACCTTCAGAATGCTGTCAGGAACGAGCTGTTGTCCTTGCCGGCAGAATGTTCGTACCTGTGCAACTCTGATATAGGTTGCATCAAGTGTTTTGATAGGAGGTCATGTCCAACAGTGCCCGCCACTGAGATTGCATGGATCGCAGATACTGGGAGCGCACACGATCTTGTATCTAGACACATGCTACATTCGGATGAAGTGTCACAATCGTCCAAACCGGTCAGTCTTCTTACTGCCAACGGAGTCTTTCAAGCCACTGACCAAGCCAGAGTCAATGTCCCCGTGTTGGGAACTGATATCAATCCTTATGTCTTGGAAGACAGCCCAGCCGTCGTATCGGTAGGACAACGCTGCATCGACGCAGGATGGAGCTTCCATTGGCCCGCTTACAGTAGGCCGTACTTCAAGAAACCAGACGGAACAAAAGTCAAGCTTGAAGTAGAGGATTATGTTCCATACTTGCCATCAACCACCGGTGTTGCAATGTCCGCCATAGGTCAACCTTACGGTACGAACGATCGGTCAAAGGGGCTGCGACCAATGATCCCTCTGCCCGCGTCACCGGCTGAAGAGGCAATTGAAGTCCAGGATGATGAGGACAACCCCATCGGCGAGGATCCTGTTGAAGATGATCCCGAGCCAATGGATGAAAGGTTGGTGGAGAAGCCGTTGGACCCGAAGAGGGATAGGGGAGAGAAAGCTCTCAAGGAAGAAGCACAATCCATTCAACATCTGTTGACTCATACCCCGAAGAACCCCTTTTGTCAAGCCTGCTCGAGAGCAAAGATGACCAAACGTCCATCGTATAGCAAGGGTGGTTCAACCCAGGTAGAGGCGGATCATTTTGGACAACATTTGACTGCTGACCATCTTGTTATTCGTGACGATGAGGAAATGGACATCGATGGGGCTCGCGTCGCATTGGTTGTGAAAGATGTGGCAACGGATTTCAGATATGTCTATCCGGCCGCACGTCGATCAACACGTGAATGCATAGCAGCCTTCAAGCATTTTGTCCGTTCGACTGATGATGTAGGAGTATTTTATTCCGACAATTCACCAGAACTCATCGCGACTGCCGAAAGGCTAGGATGGAGGCATCAAACCAGCTTCGCATACGTCTCTAAGACCAATGCTATGGCTGAGAGATCGATTCGGTCTGTCATCGATGGAACAAGGGTAAACCTAGAGCAAGCTGGCCTACACCATCAATATTGGGCTCACGCTGCCAGGCATGCATGCATGGCAAACAATATTGTCGACACCCGGGAGGGTAGTTCACCTTGGTCGCTTCGGTTCGGTGAGAAGTTCACAGGCCCTTTGGTTCCCTTTGGGTTGAGGATTGATTACTGGATCGGCCCCAAGAACAAAGCCAAGTCCTCTCTCAGGTTCGAGCCAACGTCAAACCCAGGGATATTCTTGGGATATGCCGTTCAGTCCAATTTTGTGTGGAGAAAGGAGTTCATGGTTCTACCGTTGAAGGATGTCATGGAATCAGACTTCAGTGCGGAGATTCAACCATTAAGAGTCCATCAGATTGCCGTTCCCGACATCGGATTACACTTCCCATGCAAAGGCAGGTACAACATGATAAGAGAAGGTTTGTACCCAGGCATTTCCATTTCGAGCAATCCGCCATCAATTGATGATGTCAAGGCTGCAAATATTGAAGAGCTTGTTGATCAGGAGGTTTTGAAACATGCTGTTGACCAAGAGTATGAACCTGATGAACCACCAGAACTCCCTGACGTGCTAATTGACGATGCACCCATCGCCGCTCGCGGGTCGGGAGACCTTGCCGACGATCCGGGGGGTGAAGAGGTTGAGATGATTGAGGTTCTTGATCCTGTTACGGGTGAAACAACTTTGATCCCCAAAACCGATTCATCTTACTACGATGCCGGAGGTTACAAGGCAAGAAAGTACAAGGGTTCATCAAAACCACCCAGCATTCCTCCGTTCCTTTGGAAAGCAGCTTCCAAAGCAGAAAGGAAGAAGGCGATTGCAGAGTACGAGCTTGAAGAGGCTCGGAAGCGCCTTCTTGCCGAGAAGAGCAAGCATAAAGCAGCAGTGGCAG